AATATGCGAAATAGGAAAATAAAAGCCCTTTGATTACCTGCCTTAAGTTCTGTATTGGGGAACGCATAAAAAGTCAGTATGTAACACGCATGCGCACATGAATACTGAGATCCTTTATATGGAATTTTGAGAAACATACAAAAATACGAATGACGAGGGTATATATTCTTGTAAAAAGCACGACATTTTCCTTTGGTACGCGCCTCTTAGGCAATTGCATGAAGACGGGTGAAAATGACTACAAATACATAAAAATAGTCAATCACTAACTTTCACAGACCTGCATATTTGGAAAGGTATTTACAGACATTTACAAATTCTTATTCCATTTCCGTCAAGTTCACACACGCAACGATTTTAGGGTTTACATTTATATGATCAATTTGGCACTTACAGAAATTAATATTATTCATATCCTCACGTTTCCACTTTTTAAAGATACGAGAAGAACGGGGCATGATGACATACAGAAAAAATAATTAAGTAAAAATACATATATTAATACAAGCCGTCCTGGATATGACGATAAACTACATCCGGCAGTAAGGCCTCTGATTGGAAGGTTTCGAGGAGCGTGGAATCACCTCTTAATCTCTGTTATTCCCAGGTCCACCCTCACTCGGGGTGGTGGCACATGTTAGGGCCCCATATATGGGCAAATAGTGAACCCCCAAACTGAGTCCAAACAGTACGAAAGTATAAAAAATCGAGGAAAGAGGGCTTAGGAATTTGATACACATAGCGCCAAACCCGGTTAGAAACATCTAAACTGTTAACTGTAAAAATACGCTTTCTATGACCAATGGTGAAAAAAAGGCTTTGAAGAAGTAAAGGTTTTAGGTCTTGGCAAAGGTCATACTTCTTTGAAGATTGTGGACTGACATTACAGAATCACAATAGTACAGAATAACTAAATCATTTGAAGCCTACCAACAGTACCAACAATTAAAATGGAGACCAATGTAACTGGAAGATAAAAAAATGACATAGTCTTCTTCTGCTGCTTTCTACGAAAATAAAATAAAATGTTGCATCTTGATTTCACTTAGATATTCGTGCAAATTTCACGCTCAGGAATTAAACGTGATAATTTTTCTTCGAATTCTTTATACATTTTATATTTCAAATCTGCTCGTGTTTCTCTCTTTTTCTTCAGAAATCAAAACGCATCAACTACCAATCCTCTCCTCCTTCTAGCACAATGTCCCTATTATGTTACGACAATGAGAGCCTCTTTAACGATGAAGCACTTCTTGAAGAGTTCTGTAGACACTTCAGCCATTTACATTCATTAACCAAATCGATAATTGATTCTAAAAAATATATTTGAAGACAAATCGTGTCATTTTTTTTGTTTACATCACGTGGTTTTACAACCAACCACTCTTGAGAAGTCACTCGGCTGATCGACTCGAAAGTATTGTCAGAAAATATTCTCGGCTGTAATCACTAACACATCTTCGGATGAATACATTATTATTATTATTATTATTATTATTATTATTATTATTATTATTATTATTAACGTTCCACTAAAAAGATATTCACTATTGCTTTTTCAATACTTGAACTGCTTAAAAGTCATTCGATTAAAAGATAACGTCCGACCTACAGAAAATATCAGTGCAGATCTTACGCATATATTTTAACACGCGTTGAGTGTATTCTGTAGTTAATATCAAAATTGGCGTTTTCTGGCAGACGTCACCTGGGAAGAGCGTCTGACTAGAAGACTACTCATCCAGAAATAGAAGGATATAAAACAATCTAATAATAATACACGCATAACTTCATATTTTCCATTATCTATCTATCTATCTATCTATCTATCTATCTATCTATCTATCTATCTATCTATCTGTTGTGTAGAAAGACGATCGATCATTGCTACACTAAAATTATTGAACATAAAATCTTCCATTCAGTATGAGAGTATCGTCAGCTCATAGGACCAGGAGTTGCAAAGTTATAACTCTATCTCAGTTTGCTTGTTTCTCTCAATATATCTATATGTATAAATGCATCTATCTATCTATCTATCTATCTATCTATCTATGACAGTTCTTATGTATATATATATAAGAGGTTAAAGAATTAATGACTTTTAATTTGTAAAATCATGAACATATTAATACTTTTTGCATAAATACATTGTTAAATCGATAATTAAATTCATTTTTCCTGAAATCTCAGGAATTATTTAACCTATTTGCTGTTTTATGATTTTGTATGAATAATTTATATCTTATGAAGTCCTTGCATTTTAAGTGTGATTTTCCCTCGATCTAGCTTTATAAACTTACAGGGAATTATAAATGGTCATTGTATAACATAAAATTGAAAGATTTATTCAAATGGACAATGATTTAGTCTGGAGAGATTATGGCAATCTAGATATTATGTAATCCTTGAAATCTCATAGGAAGAGGATATTTTGCTAGTCCTGGTAAAATAGACAAACTTGCTTTTAAGCTTATTTTACCGGTCTCGGTAAAATAGAACCGCTATTTTATTTTGCCGGTAAATATTTTTATTATTATGAAGGCAGCTAATGTTAAAAATAACAACACACAGATTTAATACAGAAGTTTATTTATTTTCATCATCAATTGTGCAAACAATTTAAAATCTTTTCCACCATCAATTGTTAAAACACCAGTTAAAATCATTTATTCATCATTAAATAAAATAAAGAATTCATTGAATATTTTAAGCACTCCAGGCAGAATAGTTTCTGCAAATCCCAAACCTGCCCTTCTGCATGGTTCGCTTGCTAATATACTTCAAATGCACCCACTGAAGACAACAGAATTCATGTTCAAGTCCTGCTTTAGCTAAAACACTATTTATATTAACCGACAGTCTTGGTGTCTATATTACTGGGACCGGAAAAATAGCCTATTCGCATAGAATATGTACAATAAATCTTTTATTCGAAGCTATTTAACCGTGACACAATTCTATTGACAGTAATGGAATAATAAAGTTTGTATTATAGCGCCGATTGTGTTTGTAAACGTAGACATTAAAGAGGTAAATTATTTTATCTATGCACTGATTTTAACGCTATTGCAACGTTCTGCTGGTGAACTTCATTTCTTTTTCTCTCCTAAATATTTCGAAAGAGTAGACAACGTTCGCGTTTTCAAAATTTGCTTGAGTAATTTCTAGAAAACAATCTATCTACGTGTTGCAGAATAGAAACGTTTTTCGTTTTTAAATTTAAAATTTATTTGAAAAACCCAAATCTAACATTTTCATAGAATAAAAACGTTTTACTATTTATATTTATATATTTAATATATTTCGTGTAAGTTCCAACACTAACTGCCTAATTTTCTGATTGTAAATTAGAGACGTTTCGTTGGTCAGAAAGTAATCTTTACTGACACTTCGACCTTTTTTTGCGTCTATGAGGTTTTTTACTATGTGGCTTGAGGTGAACTCGAATATATATATATATATATATATATATATATATATATATATATATATATATATATATATATTCATGAATAATTCATACAGAAACAAATATATGATACCTGTTTATAAATTGGAATTTATAAACAGGGATCATATCATTCATATACAGGTTCGGGGCTGATGTATCTTATTTATATTGTTCGCGACGATGTATTCTCACCATTTAAATCATTAACCTCTATATTTGTTTTTTTTTGCATGAATGATTCATGAATTTGTAAATTATAATTGCACCTTTTAATTGAGATATATATATATATATATATATATATATATATATATATATATATATATATATATATATATATATATATATATATATGAGGATAGTATATATATATATATGGGAATAGTGTATATATATATATATACATATATATATATATATATGGTGATAGTAGTCTATATTTGAGATAGTAGTTGTGGCTCGTGGGGGCACAATCCTCTTGGTAAGGAAAACTTGGATGAGTTCCACCACGGAATATGTGATCGAGCAGCGTTGTTTTTTCATTACCGAGGCCCATTTGTACAGTCAGTATGACGTTTGCCTCGTATCGTAACTGTCCGAGTTTCAATTCTCGGTAGTGGATGCGCACTGCTGATGACTCCCATATATAGGACGCAACGGCCGTCCATTGATTTCTGCTAAGGTTTCTTCTAGACTCGATAAATTCCTTAATTGTGATCATCTCAAATCGTCCAATAATTTCTGTCACTTATATATATATATATATATATATATATATAAATTCGCACTCAATGTGGACTTTTAACCTAGCTAATTCAGGCTGGAATTCTTTAACATCAATTCCCTGGCATTTTAAAATGTCCTCAATTCACAAATCTTTGGAGACAATTAAAACTGAATTTGAAACAAAAAAAATAATAGGTTCTTGTGTTACTCTAAACCCAATATAACTTTTTTTAAAAATCACTAATTTTTCTATTTATTTTAAAATTTGCATTTTTAGTTGTTCCCTCTTCAATCAGAGAGAAATCACAATGCCGGATGTTCAAGCACCAGAGGAATGGCATATTTTCCATCCCAGGAATCATCCTGGTTTCATAAAGGTATAATATTTCTATGTCGAGCAAGTGTGGCTCGAGTTAGATGGCTTTCAGTCACACGGAATGACAGACAATTTGCAGTTTATTTATTTATATTTTAAATGAAAGATAATTATTGTCTATTGAGATTCTCTTTATTTTAAGAAATTGGATTTCTTTAATAACGACAATTTTAGAAGTAATTCTTCAAGGATTGTTTAAACTTGGAAAATACAGGTCATATATTATCCACTGCTAAGGAAGAAGCCATTTTCAAACTTGTGGATATGCCTATTTTTCTGCTCGTTCACTATTTTTCCTGTAAGAGAAAAGATAAAGACTCTTCAAATATTATGATTATAAATTTATAGTGGCGTAGTTAAAAGAAGCGAGCCCAATTCGTTGCCGGCAGTAATCTTACCGTTAAGACCTCAGTTAAAATAGCTCATCGTTTCTTGTAATCAGATATGAAATGTGCCTCGGGCAGCGCAGCGAACCGGTGCAGGGCGCATCGTCAGAAAAACATTCATTGAAATAGACAACTGGGAAATCCCATAAACACCGACACAGCAGTAAGGACCTTAGAGATAGAGCAATGGAAAGACAAGATAAAGACCGCTATTTGAGAAGTACAGAGCGTTTCGTATGCTACATAGGCCCGGCACTTTGGCAATACATCAAATCTTCTTACGTTGAAATGTGAGCACAGTTCTGCAGAGTGATAAAACCCAGCAGGAATCTTTCTTTTCTCTCTCTCCCCCTCCCCCTCTCTATCCCTCCTCTCTCCCTTTCTCTCTCTATATATATCTATCTCTCACCACGACTATAAAGAGAGAAGTAATGTTATAGCAACATCCCACTTCGGTGGTAGGAGGAGCGTCGACAAATCAGCTCTACGTGTATCGCAAAACAAATAAAGGAGCAAAGTTTTGTTCGTTCGGCTGTATTATTTACTTTAACTTATATCTTAAGCTTGTTTTATTTGCAATTTTAAATAGAAAGAAAAAAAATAAAACAATGAAAGTAATTATGCGCTGAAAAGTTATGTTGATGTCAATTAAATGCCAGATACGAATATTAAATGAAAAAGCTTATTTTATTATGGACATACAGTTGGAAATTGTCGTGAATTTGATGATGACGTCATTTGCTCACGGATTGGCTGGGGTTCAACCAACCAGCGCATTCCATGTGTACACCTTGCGCGGGTAGTTTGAACAGACTACATCTTTTGCACGTGTGAGCAGATTGAATATAGCGCCTCTTTGTATGTTACGCCTGCTAAAGAGTTTTAGTTTTTTAACGCTTTACCAAACCCTTGTTTTATGTGGCGTACCAGAAAGTTTTTCTCGCCTGAGTCCATCCTTTAAATCTATAAATCAACTTATATATATATATATATATATATATATATATATATATATACTTTTTATTCCTTGCATGGAATACTGTTGCCATATATGGAGCTTCCACTGTTCGTTTCAAGGTCCTCGGCAAAATCCAGGGACGAATATGCAATGTGACTGGTCTTGATTTGGCATCTCGTCTACAGTCACCTTCTCAAAGATGTGACGTCGCTTCCCTCTCTCTTTTCTACAAATACTTTCACAATAAATGCCCCGACGAGCTACTTTCGCTAGTTCCCAAACTGCATGAATTTAAACCTGTTACTATGTTGGCATTTCAGTCCCGTCCTTTCACTGTCGAAACGGTTAAATGTAGTCGTCTCTTCTACTCCAATAGCTTCATGTCTCCCACTTCCCGTTTGTAGAACTCTCTTCCTCTTACTTGCTTCCCTGATAGCTATAAACTCCATCTATTCGAATGAAATGTCAATCGACATCTTCAGATGCACTGACCTAATTCCCCGTCCTGCTCTTTATCCTTGCATCTATCACACCTCTTTAATCTTGCTCCCATTGCTAGTGGCACTCCCGCTTTGCTTGGGGTGAAATGCTTAAAAGAAAAACTCCCTGTCTTGTACACACTCACGAAGAAGCTGCAGAAATTCCAAGCTCTTCAAAGTTTATACGAAGGAAAATGGAATTTTATTGATAGTTCTTTCAATGGTGTTGTTTCGTGTTATTAATATGGTTGTTTGTTTAATGTCTATGTATGTTATTCTTCGATTTGGCATTGATGAGAAAACTATTTCCATAATATTTACTGTCTGTTTCAAAAGCTATTAATTTGTACTGTCTAACTTCGATATTAATATCAAGTCCGTTGATTTTTCTATCTTAGTTTCAATAAACACCAGTTATAAGTAACAACATCCAGAGTAAATAATAAATGTTTTCCTTTCGTCTTTTCACAAGTTCTCTAAAATTAAATATCCGGATGGCAAAAATATTTATATGCAATCGGAGGAATTTACAAAGTTTTAAATAGGAAGTTATCAATATCTAACGGTTGAGAAACAGAGAAATCATTGCTTTCTTCGCCCAAAGCACAGATATTCTCATCATTTTGTTTTCTTGGCGCTTTCATTGTGAAAGAATATATAACATTGCCAGTGAAACGTTGGGATATAAAAGGTTATTGAAACTATAAATGTAAAGGGATATCTGCTGTTTATGTACAGGGGAAATTTAAAATAAAAAAAACAAAAAAACCCACGAGTTTTCAGACCATAATAAGAAATAAGTAAGTAATTGTGAAGACAACAACATATATTTTGGAATAAATAGGAATAAAATGCAGTTTTTAAATTTTTTCCTCCATTTTGTTTTATAACCAAGGCTGCACGTCTGATCAAATTATTGACAGACAATTCCTAACTTGAGGCGTGCGCTCAGCTTCGAAGTAATGTCTCCCCCTTAAAGGAATATCATGCAGTGTCTTTTTGGTTTCAAAATGTTCTTTCAGATGAGTAATTGACGATAGCGAAAAAGGATTCTGTTTTACATTGTTCCTTGATTTAAAAGCTCTCCTCGTTGCTACTGCAACCTCATGAGTCAATCGTCAGGTCATATATATATATATATATATATATATATATATATATATATATATATATATATGTGTGTGTGTGTGTGTGTGTGTGTGTGTGTGTGCGTTTGTGATAGATAGATAGATAGATATGCATTCATCAGACCGTCTGATGATCACGAAAACCTGTCAGTTACCATTCAATGTTGATTTCCATATCTACACTATTTATTTGTGATCAAATACTATTACCAATATTAATCACTGTTCACAATGAATGTACCCAATATATATGTATGTGTATGTATATATATATATATATATATATATATATATATATATATATGTGTGTGTGTGTATATATATATATATATGTGTGTGTGTGTGTGTGTGTGTGTGTGTGTGTGTGTGTGTGTGTGTGTGTGTGTGTGAAAAATGTATAATGTGGATCATATCTTCATATTTCAACTTCCTGTCACGAGTGACCTCCCCTGCACAGGAAGTCAAAATCGCGAATACCATTTAAACGCTTACGCTTACGTATTGATTAACTAGGATGCAGGGAATTTCCAAGGTCATTCTCAGATCACGTATTGAACCTGTATATTTAATTAAAAAAAACTAATAATAACAGTCTATTGATTTTTATGAACAGTGGGTGTTTCATTACACACATAGTCTCTTTCTCTTTCTCTCTCTCTCTCTCTCTCTCTCTCTCATTACATCATTACTCTCATTAACACTTATTACGCTATCTTTCTTTCTCTCTGCTTCTCTGTCTCTCGCTAAACACACACACACACACACATATATATATATATTGTTACGTGATATATATGTGTACATATAGTTTTTAATTACTTTAAATATTATTTTTAGTCGAAAACTTATATATATATATATATATATATATATATATATAATAAAAATTCCCTTTATTTAATATATAAATCTGTTAATGTTAATATTATATTATTATATCTGAAGAAATTCGTTATCGGAATGAAAGCTGTCGCTATATAATTTTGCGTCATGTTTATTTTCTATCTGTTACTTTGATGCAAGCGTCATTTTTGCATTTTTTGCGGCATATCACCTCCAAACATGACAATAAAGCCACTGAGACGCAAGGGGGATACTGTTTGTGAAAGAATAAGAAATAATTATTAAGGAGAGATAATAATAATAAAAGAATAGAAATTAAGAAATCGTAAGATAACGATTGACTTTGCATTTAAACTTTTGAAGATCAAAGAAGATGTAAAGCAGCAAGCCGACAGAAATTTTCAAACGTGACAAGTGCGAGAAAAGTAACTGTTTGCACAAAATTTTAAGTGTAAAATGATGAGATCTCGCCGCCAACCTAATACTCCGTTTACTTCATGTATATGAATTTACACACACACACACACACACACACACACACATATATATATATGTGTGTGTGTGTGTGTGTGTGTTTGTGTGTGTCTTTGTATATATATATATATATATATATATATATACAGAGACATATATATATATACCTGATACCTCACACCAAAACCAGGTCAAAAGTCCTCATATGACAGCAATTCCTTCGATTATGCTTAATGAAGTTTAAAGAGAGTTTACGGTAGACAGCGCTGCGTTGCTATGTAGACTAGGTTACATGTTTTATTCTTGTACATTTGTGGCACTCTGTCTTCAGAGTATAACGTGTGTAGTAGTGAGTTAACTGAGAAATGTTCTGTTTAACAATGGCAGGATATTCATATCGGGAGCAGGCAGATATGATTTGTACATGGCCGCCTGAATGGTAATGGTCACGAGGCTCTACGGCTGTATCAGATTGTGTTTCCATACCGAAGGCAGGATCCATGGCACTACAAACTATTGACCGAGGAAGACCGAGATCCGCTCGTACGCCTGGCTACAAATAACACATTCTTAAGACTGTCGTATATGATCCAGGTATCAGCATACATCAAGTGGCCCTGTCATGTCATACATCTCATAATATCGCATGGAGGGCACGTCATGAGTATCTCCTGTATCCGTATCATTTGCAACGCGTGCAGGGTCTTTCGCCTTCTGATCACTCATCACGGGAGAACTTTTGCCGATGTTTTATTGAAGAAATGCTGATACGTTGTTTATCTCTTCAGTCATGTTTAGGATATGGCAACATTTGGAAGAGATGGAATAACAAGTTTATAAAATCAACACCGGAATGGTGCAATTCAGGCTAGACACCAGCATCGGTTTATGATTAATGTATAGTCTGGAATTGTAGGTGACTGTCTGGTAGATCCATATGTTCTCCCTGCACGTCTTACAGGAGCTGTCTACATGTACTTTATTTCAAACACACTTCCAAACCAGCTAGAGGATCTACCCCTGATAATACGCAAACGTATGTGGCTCCTACGTGATGGGGGGGAGCACATTTTAGTCACACTGTTTGCGATGCAGTGGCTGGCATCTACCATGAAAGATGGAGAGGTAGTGGAGGACCGGTTCCATGGACTCCACGTTTCTTTGATCTCAATACTTTGATTTGTATCGGTGGGGGCGAACTAAAATAATTGGTTGTTTCATAAGACATTAATAATGCAGAGACGCTTCATCAAACTTTCATGGGGTCGGGTGGGGTTTGGCTACGAAACCATTTGACCCCGTCACGTAGTATTTGAAAGGGCCCGCAAGTCAATGCCTCAACATGTCATGAGTTGCTGTGTTAAGGTACAACGATGGCCTTTTGGACATATGTTTATATGGGCATTTTCCTTTGATTTGATGTCATTTAATGTTAGTTTATGCAAATTTAGGTAATCCGTATGGGTAGACCTGAGGAGGATGATATCCAGAAAGCTCAATGTAAAATTCAGAGCAGATATGTTTGAATAAACCTAAACCTCCAAAATATGCACGTTAAAGTAACGCGAACTGACAGCGTCTAAGAATTTGAATGAAATTTGTCGTGTAATTTATTGGGGTTGTTGTAACGTCTTCCTTTAATGTAGTTCTTATCGTTCACCCCTTAGCCACCTTTATCTAGAGACGAGACGCGTTAAATTTGAGCAACATCCAGCCGACACACTGGGGTTAAAATAGGAAACTAAAATGATACATATGACACACTCATATCCTCTCTCCCACCTCACTTCCTCACTTCGTTAACTTTGCGTATACTTGATGAGGTACATGGAATCTTAACGTGGTCTGTCTTTTATTCAAATATATATATATATATATATATATATATATATATAAAGAAGAAATATACTGAACATTGAAGTAAACACTTAGGGGCGACAGGCTGTTTCATGCTAGACGCAATATATGATCTGGAGCTAGACTATTGCATCTAGCATGAAACAGCCTGTCGTCTCTAAATGTTGACTTCAATGTTCACACACACACACACACACACACACACACACACACACACATATATATATATATATATATATATATATATATATTATGAAAACAAAGACTTTAAGATGCCATGGTGATAGTTTATTTCGTTAGAACCGATATCTCGGTTTCAATTCGCCAGACCGCATATTCAAATACAAATAAATGGATAAAATTTTTTCCAGGCAGAAAAACAATATCCATTTAAGCATAAATTATGTATACGAAGGTTCGTTTACAATATAAGGGAAAGGAGAGAAGAAAAATATATGCATTTAGAAAGGTATAAGGTGATTGAGAGAGGTGAAGGAGAAGGATATGTTATCAAAGCTGGGAAGGGAAAGAAAGAGAAATAGATAGATATATAAATCTGTTTAAGGAGATATGTCGAAGTGGTAGTGAAGGGAGCAGACTTGTTGACCTAATTATCATGGATGTACACAGTGAAGTCGAAAATGATCGTTCAATCCGGGTAGGGAAAAGTGACAAAGAGAGCGAAAGAAAAAGGAAGAGGAAAAGAAAGAGGAGGAAATATGACTTGATACCAGCAATTTTTAGTATACAAATGAAGAGGTTTTCTGTCTAAAGCATATAATCATAGATTTGGAATAATAATAATAACAATAATAGTAATGATAATAATCTTATTCGCTCCGTTTTTACGCTGAGCTCTCTGGATTTATATCCTCCTTGAAATTATCCATACGGATTAAATAATATATATATATATATATATATATATATATATATATATATATATATATATATAAAACGATAGATATGCGTATATTTATAATGTGTGTGTTTGCATGCAAGTCGGTATAACTTATGGAACAATGTTATTAGTCCACACTAAAAAATATGTGTCTGTATCTGGGAATATCAAGTTTTGAGTATAGGACGCTACTTAAAGCAACAAATATATGGTTCTACAGAAAGATGCTGAGAATACCATGGATCGATGACGTTAGCGAAAGTGAAGATTTATGGAAAATAGAAACAAAAAAGGAGACAATTCTTAAATCAGTTGAAATTTATGAAACAAGTAATGAGGAAAGAGGGCTTGTAAAATGTGGTACTCACAGGACATTGAAGGCAAGAGCGACAGTGCAAAACAACGGATAACTTACCTAGCGCGCTTATGTAAATGGATTGTGGAGCACGGATTAGGAGTGATAACAAAATCAAAATCGATTACGAGCTTTAATGGACATGAAATTATGGAGAGCTGTTATCGCCAACATCCTGAAGGGAGACGGCGCATAGAAGAAGATGAATTATTATTGCTTACAATTACATTTAATACATTTTTAATGCAAACTGGAAAGAGAGAAATACGCCTAACGTTCTTCCTAGGAGATTGATGCAAATAATTTTGAATTTTAGAATTAAATACGGAATAGAAATTCATGTTTTAAAACTGTTAAGAAATTCTAAATCCATCTTTAAATTTAAAGTATTTCCCTTTGGATTATTTTCTTTGACAAACAACATAAATAAAGATGAGGCGTGTTTCGATAACTGTAACTTCATAAAACTAAATAGCCGAAGTTACATTTAAATTCGTTCATAAATCGATACTTCTTTGGTGTCGAGAATGATTCGCGTGTTTACGAGGAAGAAACATTCTTTAATTAGCTCTGCTTGTGCCATGTAGAGAAAATATAAAAGAGACCACCACTCGGCTATTCAAGGCAAGGTGCAGGGCAATGGAAATCGAACGAGTGATCTACTGTCACCCAGAGAAATTTTATTCCTAAAAAAAAAAAAAAAGACTGGCATTACTGCGACTAACAAAGAGACAGGATGTGTGGCTAGTCGTATAAGACTACTGTTATTTCTTGATGTATATTGGGATATCAGTAGAGAAGCTGTTGTCGACTCAGGAATGCGGGGCCGAAATCTGTTTTGAAGAGGCAGTAAGAGAAAAAAAAATAAAAAATAAAAAAGAAGTTCAACTAATCAATCTGGAAAAACCAGCCGAGCATCTTAAATGTCACTGGAGGTGAAATTTATTTCAATAACAACGGCTTCGGTTCAGGGGGAAAAAAAGTGTAAAAGTTAAAATTTGGTTACTGAAGAGAAAACTAAAAGATAAAAAAAAAATTAAATCTAATACATTGACAATGAAAAACCTCAGAATAAGTTTTCAAGAGAAGTATGGAAACACTGGACAAGATACAATGCGAAAAGAAAAATCAAACAATTCCTATGCTACCGTGTAATTTACCATATGGCACTGTGTGCCGTCCGATGTGTTATTAATGTCAGGAAAAAAATCTTTTTGCATTAGTTATTTCTGTGCATTTTTGTTAAATCGAATATCATTTATAATTGTCATGAGTGAAAACAAACATCAGATGTCGCCTACCTCCGCTCTGAAGGGGCGTAATTGAACCTTGTGGCATTGTCTGGATTTGTAAAAAGCTGTGTAAAAAGTTTCCTGGCGAATGAATTTCAAGTCGTCAATTAAATAAATGTTAAAACTTCTGAACTTGACTGGAATCAGATACGCATTTGCGAAGAAAGAGATATAAAGACACACACATACATACATACATACATACACACACACACATACATATATATATATATATATATATATATAAATATATATATATATATATGTGTGTGTGTGTGTGTGTGAGTGTGTGTGTGTGTATGTCTGCATCCAGTCAAGTTATATATATATATATATATATCAGACTCACACAACACACGCATTCACTTAAAGCGGTTGGTGAAAAGTACTGGTAAGGATCGACTTCTAAAAGTTTTATTTAACGAAAGAAACATCAGAATATTAATTTTGGAAATTACGTTTGAACGAAAGCCTTTCAGCATCCCCTCGTACACGCAAAAAAGTAAGATGTAATGCTTCAATTACTATATATATATATATATATATATATATATATATATATATATATATATATATATATATATATATATATATATATATATATATATATATATATATATATATATATACAAACAAACAAGTAATCACTAGAAAGATGTATATTTGTTTCGATGCCTAATATAAGGATCTCATCAGGTCGTGAACAAAGATGGTTATATTATTGCTCTATTTTTGTATTGAGCACTCTTTTAAACTAATGTTAGGTACGTTTGAATTTATATTCTTTTCGTTCTCATTACATTTGGCTATACATACATATATATATATATATGTATATATATATATATATATATGTATGTATGTATATAATATCGCAAATAGAGTGCTGGTGATGCTCTATGTAATATAACAGAGCCCATTTAGTATATATTGATAAATTATCCTCACCGGTAGCACGACTGGGGGTTTTATGCACAATCCAATCTGGAGTCGATATATTATACAGGGATTACAGTTTTTTTTTTTTTTCAAAATATAGCTTGCATTTAATAGGGAGTTTTATTTCATATATTTAAAATAAACGGGTATAAATATTTTATTTTATATTTAAATCAACAAAAATTATATTATACATGACGGGAGATTACTTGGTTTACACACACACACACACACACACACACATACATATACATATATATATATATATATATATATATATATATATATATATATATATATATTATCTGATAATACGTTAGTTTTTCCGTATACAGGTCCCATTCCTGTCGGAGAACGCATATTTCCTACGAAATTTCTAGGACATTCAGGTTGTTAAATGTTATTAATACTGTTTAATTGAAAAGAGAGCATTTACTTAAATAATACTAGTATCTATAAAAATAACGTATAAATAGAAAATATATTAAATAATTCGAGGATTAATCCATTTCATCATACACACACACACACACACACACACACACACACACACACACATATATATATATATATATATATATATATATATATAAAATTAATCAGAATTAACCTGCAGAAAAAGACAATATTTATAAATATAAAAGACAATAGGAAAACTGTAATATTAACTGACACGTTTCGTTCAATGTGTACATTCTCAAGCCAAAAAGATAAAAAAAAAGTTTCGTTGTCTTGAAAAAAGTACACGTTGGACGAAACGCGTCAGCTAATATTAGTTTTCTTAATGTCTTTACATTCATCTCACCCTCTCACTCTCTCTCTCTCTCTCTCTCTCTCTCTATATATATATATATATATATATATATATATATATATATATATATATATATATATAAATGAAAAATGAAGACTTAGAGGCGACAGTCTGTTTCATGCTAGTGACGATTGCATCTAGCATGAAACAGACTGTCGCCTCTAAGTGTTGACTTCTATGTTCACTTTTATATTTACACACAGTCTATCTCTGATATTGAGCACTTTATCCCATAAATATAGCACATCTTATGACTATATTTCTTCACACACACACACACATATATATATATATATATATATATATATATATATATATATATATACATTGTTTTCGTTTTCAACCATATCCGACTGCCTAGCCAATCCCTTTTGCCGACACCTTCTCTAAAGCTAACTTGTGGTTTATACCGCTACCTGTTGTGCGGAATTCATGTACAGTTACTTGGAGAGAGCGTCTAAGTTAGCCTGATCAACAGTTTGAACAAGGCTTGTATGCTCCAATCCTTGGTTAGGGTGACTCATGAATTTGTACTAGTACAACTATCAACAGAGTCCGCACAGCTCTGTCGATGCAAATTCACTTGGACCCTGTTATGATTTTCAGATATTTTCCAAGGGGGCCGCACGTTTAAATCGCCTCTCGCTAGGCAGATTTCTATCTATCTATCTATCTATCTATCTATCTATCTATCTATCTATAACCGTGCATATAGGTATGTCGATATACGCTTATAGAAATATATGTTGACATGCATTTATGAAGACATATTACTGTCAGTATTTCACTCAGTACATCTACCTGTTTGTCTGAGTGATTATCTGTCTCTCTTTCTCTGTCTGAACACACACATACACACAAATATATATAGACACAGAGGGAGGGAGTCATCTCTGATTTCTGCATATATACTTAATTATATATGATTATATATAATTATATGTTTACTTTATACAATTATATGCATATTGCATATAATTATATGCATGTTATATATATATATATTATATGTACACATAAAGGCACACATATATGTGTATATGTGTGTTTGTGCGTGTGTATAAATCTCTGTGAAATCATAGCGCCATTTAATTTTTAAATTATATGCTTATAATTACGAACTTTCAAAATCAATTCTTTGGGGATTTGATTACTTTTATTTCATGTGAACTGATTATACATAGTTCCGTTTTGAAAATTTTGAAAATAAGACAGCGTAAATACGCACGATATCGATTGAGATTCCTTCCAGGTATTCACCGAGCGTTTCTTTCATTTTTAAAATCTCAATGCACGCAAAGATAGAACAAAATACATCCCGTTGTTTGATCTCTATATCATTAAAACTTACTTCAAGGATTGTAATTTTCCAATATGTTTTTTACTTTGTGATTAAGTTCCAAAACTTCAACACCGTCCTGCATTTTACATACGATGCAAGGTTTTATGGCGTAATAAATGTCATTTTTTTTTATATAGATTGCATGACATAAAATTAGAATGATGAAACTTTCAAAATAATTATGTCAAATTTTACTTAGTCCAAAAAATATTTGCGTATTTTTTTATTGTTTATGTATAAGTTATTTTTAAAATCAATTTCACTCCAAGCAAGACTGTAAAGTTACCAGGACACAAGGGGTTACTGGGTATGAAAGAATCAGGAACTGAAACATTATTAATGAGTAAGAAGGGATGTAGGAGGATTGACATTGCATTTAATTTTTTGCAGATTAAATTGGGGTGGAAAGCCTGGAGTTAGAATGGAGTTCCACAAACGAGAAGTGAGATAAAAGAAACTGTAAGCATAGAATTTACGTCTATCTTTAGCCAGCTCAACTGTCAATTGTCACGATCTCGCCGCCAGACAAATACTGTGCTTAAATTCAGAAAGTCTATGTACCATAGACAAAAGCTCATTCAAACAATTACTATGAATATATTTATAGAAAAAGACACAGGTGGAAAAGTGACTGAAGCCGAGCTGACACATCAAGACTGATAATATTGCTGATTCTTTTTTGGATTTTATAAAGTCACGAAGATCTGTAAATTCAAGGAATTGTTCAAACTTTTCAAATAATCCTATTGAAATCGATAAGAATATTGTGACGAGTTTTTTGAAGATTGAGAACAGTCCACCCCCAGTTAGAGCGTGTAGATATTTGCTTGATACGCAGATTCCCAGTTCTTTTGCACTAAATTTGGTAAATATTAGTCGTGTCACGGAAGTTTACTCAGCTTTTCTTTGTGCTATCAGACCAGTTTACAAGGTGCATTCTTGTATATTTTCTGTACTCTTAATTCCTGTTCGTTTATTGTTCTCTCCTTAATAATAATATTTTTCACATTCAGTATCCATTTGAGCCTTAGTGGCTGTATTTTTTGTTTGGGGTGAAATTACTAAAAAAAACTATCTAGATCGTACGAAAATGGGTCAAACATTATCAAATACAAGCAAGAATATATTCAGCGTTTATAAACATATTTTTTATTTTCTTACTTCGACAGAAAAAATAGTTTAGGAGTAGACGCATTTCAAATGAAGAAAATCGGTTCTAGATACAGTACAACATTCAGATGTTTTGCCTAAACGGAATTTACAGGTGAAATGGGACTTGTTTTTTTTATGAGATAAATTTGCTTTATGTTGAATTGATGAAACTTGGATAAACATCAACTGAGTAAAACCACATTGAGAAATTGTCGCGTTTAAATTACAGAAAATACTTCTGAGTTAGAAAGTCGATTGGCCATTTGATCGCCGTATGACAACGCTGGTCATTGTTTCGTTAATTCAACGAAACGATCATAATATTGGCATGGAAAATCCTTCCACAAGCGCCATCTATTTCAGATCTGGTAATATTACAACTACCTATTTTGCTTTATAAAACACGCATTTGTATCACCACTGCTTCTAGAATGAAAAGAAAATAGAAAATTATTCGAAACTGTTTTGAAATTGCTTCAAAACAAGAATCTCACAAGCCTAGATGGGTGACCGCTTGAGAATACTAGTTGTTGTAAGCTTGGATGTGCGGGTGGTGTAAGGGATAATGGCTTGGAATTGTTAATTGGGGAGCCTCGTTACAATTCCATTTGGGTTCGTTATATTCACTTACGAGTAAATACTTTCGAAAAGGTATGAATCCGCATCAGTTATGGGTTAAATAGTAAGATTTATATCATTAAGATTATTATTATCTAAAAAAACTTACAATCTAAAAATATTTTTCTGGCTTTAAATAACCTGCAAAGGGTTGATAAGCCGTAAAAATTAATCAGAATTTCTCTTTTATGGCGGAATACGCAATTTCACTGAGAATAATCGTAAATTGGCTGAATATAGATGTCATCCTTTTAATGAAAATATTTTGCCGGAAAAAGTTAAACGTTTGCATTGATCTATTAAAGTATATATGTACAAGAATATGTCAAAGATTATCCGCACTTTCACCATAACATATCTTTAGACAAGAGTGCGGATAATTATTGACTTTCCCTCGTATAAAAATACTGGAGTTTAAAATCCTGGCGAGACGTTTGAATTCATTTATAAGTTATATAACCCAAACATTCCTCCTTCAGATCTCAAACACGAAGTTCCGACAACAATATCCTATTTCTGAAGTAGCAGACTGGTGTGTGGGGTAAAAAACAGTATTTTTCTCTGGGAAAAAAAAAACAATTTTGCCGTTTATAAAATCCTTTTTTGCAGGTTATAATGTGAATCACAAGTCACAAAAAAAATCAGGTTTTATTTAAAATATTAACACAGGACGAAAAGTGTAACACGGAAAACGGACTACATTGCTATTAAGAACTCGAAAGATAGCAAAAGAACCAAATAAAAAACTGCTCAGTTGTTATTTAATGCCTCCTGCATTATATTTGCAATTAATTCTGGACAGTTTGAGCACAAATGAAAAAAAAGACTTGTTGTTACAGTGTTAAATAATAGTTTAGTAGACTATTATTTTTCAAGGGGAAGTGTATCTCAGCTCCGGAGGTTGATCTTTGGGGTCAGATGTAAGACATAATAAAGAGTCGAGTCTTAACCATCTATCAATGTAGACGTGTTCTCTTTCGTGTCTGAAACGACTCCCCCGGTGATAGGGAACGGCACCCGATGGATAGTTAGTAAATGTCGATATTAATAAAATACTCCATGTTTGATGTCATTCATTGCTGCCCAAAAACATGTAGCGATCACCGTCCGAGAGAGAAGATTCAACATTATATCGAATTGCTACCGTTGGCCAAGACTCCCCGGGATGAGGGGACTATGCAACAACAGAAATTAGGTTTTACCGACGAGTGCCGAAAGTACAACGTCCAGAGTATCTGATAGCTAAGTAAGAAGAATAGAAACTAAAAATAATCTATGACTAAATATCAGAATGAAATCATTGAAATATTGGGAATATAAAATGAGGAAAGGCTAGTTAAATTTAACACTCAGCTGTGAATAGCAGCGGTTAATATATTTGACAAATTTCCGAAAATGGTTAGAATTACAAGTGTGGCAAAGACAGAGTTAAAGAGAGCTCTGGAGAACGAAGATCGCGCACATCATGAAAGAGCATGGAGACTAAAGAGAAGGAAGAGGAGAGACAGTGTGAGATTGAAGCAAGAAAAAAATGACGAATCTATCAATTAGAACGCAGTATCGTATTCGTCCCTGTGTTGTTCAGCGCCTAAATCTCAAGATAAACTACCAAAATGCAATAACGAAATTCTTCATCAAAGCCAAGGCCTCGAAACAAGAAACAAAAACCAGAACATAAAATGCACATCAGAAAATAATACACATCAGATAATAATACACTTTATAGCTATAGAAATAGGTACCTGGCCTCTTAATGGTAGCGGCTATCATTTTCAGTGCGTTTTTCTTCATTAGCTTTGCGTTAAATTCTACATTGTTTCGTAAAAAGAAACAAATGGGTTAATGGCCTCCGCAGTATATATTTAACAAGAAAATAAGCAAGCCATCTGCTTAGTACAATTGGCAAGTTTTGACACATATAACAAAAAAATATTTGTATTCGTAGAACTATGAGTTGTTTGTATAGATTTTGCACTCATGTAATTCTGGGTGCTAATGATTTATTTCCTCAAATGACAGCCAGCAAATGCGAATATCAGGTGTGCAATCTTTGAGGAACCATCTGTTTCATTTGTCTGTCTCCCACGAAGCCATTTTGGTTCAATGTCTTACGTTTTAAAAAAAATTAGAAACGACTCTTATTTTGCTTTTTTTTTGTGATTTACAAGAATTTTTTGAAATCTCATTTACTTGTTTTTCAAGAATTTTTTTTATATCAGAAAGATATTTTGCATAATTTTCTTTCTTTCTTTCGTTCTTTCTTTCTTTCTTTCTTTCTTTTACTTTAATGTTTTTTGTTGTTGTTTACTTTCAATTTTATATTTTGTTTCTTTTTGTTCCAATAATTTTCTTTATCATTTCAGTCTTATTCATAAATGATTTTTTTATGTTTCTTTCTTTCTTTTGTCGATTCTTTCATTTGTTTTTTTTTTCTCTGTTTACTTTTAATCATGTTTTGTTTTCGTATCGCCCGTTCTTTACATTCTTTCTTTTTTTATCTTTTTCTTTCTTTCTTTCTTTCTTTCTTTCTTTCTTTCTTTCTTTCTTGATTTTTTCGTTGTTTTTCTGTTTATTTTCTGTCTTATTTTTTGATTCCATTTCTTTCTTTTTTTCTTACTTCTTGTCTTTTATTGTTTCCGTTTATTTTTCATGTTTTGTTTGTTTCTTTTTTTATTTCTTTGGTTTTGATGCCTTTTTCACTCTCATGTTTTATTTTCTCATCCCTTCCTTTTCTTTCTAAAATTTCTAATCGGCCCTTTGTTATTTTTTTACTCTTTTTTCTGTTTTTCTTTTATGACTTAAAGTTGTCGTTTTCCTTTCCCTCTTTAAATTTTCTTTTATTCTTGATTCAATTTTTTTCTAGTTTTTCTCTCTGTTATTATTATTATGATCCTCTCTTTTTTGTATCAATTTTTTTCTCTTTCTTTCTTTCTTTCTTTCTTTCTTTCTTTCTCCCTCTCTCTTCCTTTCTTTTTTACTTTTTTGAATTCAACCACTTTTCCCTCGCTATCATTCTTTGTCTTCATTCTCCATTTAATGAAACAATTGCCGTCTACATCTGATTGATTTCTGGTAATTCAATATTGACGGAATAACAACAGGTTTCTTTCAAATCAGGTTTCAATCATTAAACATTCAATAACAAAATTGATGGTGTAGTATTGAAAATAAACACGCTATACCACTTGAATAAAAAAAATCGATATGGCTTTCCCATATGCCAAATATTGTGTCGTAATATTTTAATGTTAAAAAAATCTATTGAGTAGCAATTTACTTGTCAGCACTGACATTATTACCTTTAGAATTGCACTGCATTTTGTTATAAATAATACTTATGCACCATCTGTTGGAAATCTGACCCACCTATAACAAACGCTGGTTTTCTAACAGGTAATATTACTTGACATATTTTTATCGTGATTATAAAAGAAAACAGAAATCGTGAGCAAATCATTTTAATTGATGTTATCATTTCTGTTGGATTTTAAAAGCGTAGCGGTAATATTCAACGATTGTTTATCATGTTTTAGTCTTAATCCGATGCGATCAATCTAGTCACGAACTAAAATAAAAAAAAAAAAAACCAAACAAAAAACACACACTCTACTCAGTGACAACATGTCGGCTGTAGGTTTCTTTATTCATAGACATTCAAGTATCAATAAATTAAATAAAATCAAATGTTAATAACGTTATTTCGTTTTAAAATAATGAAAATTCAAATATATGATTTGATTTTGATTTTCTTTTTATGCTTATACTAATAAAATAAAGAATATCAGCTTTAGTACTAAGTCATTGTTCAGACGACTTACAAATGAATGCCATCAATGCAAGCCGAGTTATCCTAGAAAATAAAAGAATACATAATTTGTACTTTTGTCATACATACGGAACGCCATCGAGAGAATCAAATCTTATAGTCATTATTTCACCTGTCATACAGAGTTGGTCAGTTCTTTGACAACACATCGTTTAATAAATCTGAATTTTTTCCTAATTGTTCTGATTATTATTTATGTTCAAATAAACGAAGTCAAAAATTAAACTGACTCGGCAAGTGAAAAGGCAGAGCATAGTAATTTAGAGATGGTTTTCTAAAGTAAGCGGAAGTTAAATCTTTCAAATCAAAAGATCAAATGACAAAAATAAACACACCGCGCAAAGCCTCCTCACAGCCTTCCGGTTTCAAACATATTTCAAATTAATAAAAATAAAATAAAAAATTAAAAGGAGTCTTTTGGAGCCTACACGAAGCCATATAAACCAGACATTCATTCAATTCAACAGAAAGACTTACAGACACAAATCAAATTCGTCGTCCCGTCTTTCTCAGCAAAGCAACAGCGGGCTCTCTTTAATCTTGTCTCCCAGCTCCACTTTCTCTCTTCCTCAATGAAATATTATTTATGTCCATTTCCTTTTCAGTCTGAGAGAAGAACTTTTTAAATACAAACTTTTATTTCGTCATAGTAGTTATAGTTAAGAAATTGTGTATTTTATGTTAAATAAACATTGTCATTTTGTTTGATCACGCAGCAACACTTTCTCTCACATTTTTATTTAAAAAAAAAAACGTGACTCAGGGAATCTCCTCCCCAACAGCTTACATCTTGAAAGTTGCACAGCCGTTTGTTGTCAAAATTCGTAAAGGGCTAGAAACCCCTGACATGGATTCTATAGCAGTAACCAAACGTAAATCTTTTGGTAAGTGTCATAGTGGCATCAGAATACCAAAATTTGTACGAACGGTTCAGAACTCTATTGATAAGAACTCCAGTAAAGTCAATTAACGCCATTGCTAAAGAGCTCATTGTTTCGAGGCACTTTATCGGAAGAATTGTGCGTGATGACTTTTGATACAAGACATATGTGATGTGGAGATGGCGATGAATGTTTTCAAACAAAAAAGATAACCGTATGATCTGCGTAAAGCACTTGTTGATCAAGTTGAAACATGAAGATCATAGAAAGCTTTGGTTTTTCTCTAACGAGAAAAAAAAACTTTGATCTAGGTTAAAAGGTCACCCGAAGAAACGACAGATGGTTATGCAGAAAAGTTGTCAGTCCCATCTCACTTCTTTTCTTCGGCTCCATGGGCCAATGCTTGCTGACTAAAAGCACGTGTTGGAGAAGGTCGTGGAATACAGTGCGAATGCAAAGAAAGACCGCATATCTACCAACAAGACGTTTCACCTTCTCATAAGGCCAAGACAACCCAAGAATTGATGACTTACAACCTCCAAGGTCATGTCACCACCAAAATATGGCCTCTGAGATGTCGGGACCTGAATCCATTGAACTACCACATATGAGATGTAGTCGAGTAGGAAGTCAATCAAAGCGCCCATAACCCTATAAAATCTCTGAAGTCCGCGATAATTCACAAAATATCCAAAATGGATAAAGGTCATATGATTCGTGCATATCAACGGTCCAGACCTAATGTTGAAGCAGTTATCGATACTAACGTTGGATACATTAGGTATATTCACCAAGAAAAATTGTAAGATTATTCCCGCCAATATTTTCGCAAATACATTTATTCTATCGCAGCTTATGCTTCTTGCTAAATTCACACAAAAGCCCTCAAAAAACTGAGGAATCCTGCATTATAACTCTGCTTGTGAACCATAGGGCGAAGATGAAAGAAATGGGAAAAGTTGCTAGGAAAATAAGAATAATAGGAAATAATATACACTAGGGTTTAAAAGTTTTGTGTCTTTTTCATGGATTTAATAATTTGTAAGTTTCTTACCTTATTTCTTTTCATTAACTGCTACTAAGTTAGGATACTGAAAGTATTTAATCCATGAGTGAATGACGTCTAATACGTTAGAAAATGGATTACCTAAAATATTAAACCCTTAAGATTACTTTTATCCAGCCAGGTAAATTAGATTAAAGAGCTAAAAGCTTAAGAAAACTTCATGCAGAAATGTGTTAATTTCATAATTATTATTATTACTGAACACATGTTAAAACCTTCAAGAAGATAAAGTTACTAGAGCCCGAAATGAGCCCGTATAAAAGTCTCGAAAAAAAAAAAAAGATATATTCTTCAATTTATAGACGATTCTTCAAGGTTTAGAAGTTGTTCCCAAAGTTTGTCCTAAAATGTTTCTTTGTACTTAATAAACGTCTATAATTCCATCAAAACAGAAATATTACCAATATTTGCATTGAAAAAGTGACCATCAACTTAAAATTTATCCGTTAGTTAAAGATCTATCTATCTATCTATCTATCTATCTATATATATATATATATATATATATATATATATATATATATATATATATAATTGCTTGTTTCTATGTGTAATTCAATATTCCAAAAAGGCTACTTCCAGACAAATATATTGAGAATAGAGCCATCTAACAAAGGTGGTCGTCCGGCCATCATTTTTTTAAGACTGGCAGACAGAAGGACCGCTGAATCAATTTTAGGCAGTCAAGAGAATTATCGTCCTTTTTACCGACATTTTTGTTCAGATTGCATCGAGGTTAACAATCTACAATGCTTTTCAGCAGGCCGCCTTTTTAAAGCGAGGTTAATAACTTATGATTGTGGCAGATTATCGAAGATCAGCCTTCTTATAAATATATCATTCCAGAATATATTTCGGCAATGGTTAGACTACCATCTACCAAAACATAAGTTAGAGTTACAAGAAAAAAAAAAAAAAAAAAAAAAAAAAAAAAAAAAACAAAAAAAAACAGCGACTATAATTAAGATTATTTATTGCTACTAAATTACTTGGTTTCCATCGGAATCTATGATCGGTGCTCTTCTCTAGACAGGGATCAAATTAACGTTGTGTGCTACAAACAGAACATATGGCAATTTTGTAACATACGCGTCTATTCTCACAAAATATTGTTATAGAACCTTTTCATAGACACTTATTCAGAATACACCTCCCTCACTCAAACTCTCTCTCTTTCCCTCTCTCCCTATCTATCTATCTATCTATCTATCTATCTATCTATCTATCTATCTATCTATCTATCTATCTAAATCCATTCCTTATCTCTCTAAATGTATCTTAATAGTTTCATTACATATCTATGTCTCCTAGTCTCTCTCGTTCTACCTCTCCTTCTCTGTACATATATATATATATATATATATATATATATATATATATATATATATATATTTATATATATATATGTGTGTGTGTTTGTGTCTCTGTTTGAGTGTGTGTACGAATGTGTTTGTATATCTGCGTAAATGTATATAATATATGTAAATGCATATAATTTATATAATTTCGCAAATATATTAAATCTTATTAATTTCATAAATGAAAATATATATATATGTGTAAAATGTTTATTACTTAAACAGTATATATATATATATATATATATATATATATATATATATATATATATATATATATATATATATATATATAAATCTACATTGAAGTCAACACTCAGAGGTGGCAGACTGTTTCATGCTAAACGTAATCATCAGGCTGCCTGACGATTGCGTCTAGCATGAAACAGCCTGTCGTCTTTGAGTGTTGACTTCAATGTAGACTTTTATATTTACATAACTCTCTCTCTGATATTGAGCGCGTTATCCTATAAATATAGCACACCTTAAAACTAAAATATATATATATATATATATATATATATATATATATATATATATATATATATATATATATATATATATATATATATATAAAAACAGGAAGTAGGTTTATCAGAATTCTTTTTTAGTTTTACTTTAATGGGATACATTATTTTTCTAGCTCCATTAAACAGTAAGATATATTTTTCAACCCTTATGCACAATGTTACCATTTAAACAATACCTATTTTACATCGAAATGTAATATGGTGATAATTTAACCAAAATCGGTTTGTTAATACCTTTATTTATTTGTAAAAATTGGCTTGCATAATAAAACCTAATATAATTTTCGATGTCAATAAATTTCTACATATTTCAGTTTTTCTTCAATGTATTTTTGTTACCTCATTGCACATCAGTTACTATTTTTATTTTACATGATTACATACCTTCACTTCCAACTGTAGAATACTTTCTACTTACGTGCGTGTGTTTTCATCCACCTCCCCGAAAAAAATCATGAAAGAAAACAAACAAAAGATATACGCGTTCAATTTGCAGGCAAAGCCATTGCTTTCACTTTTGAATAAATGCAATTTGTAAGTTTGTAAATTGCAATTTGTAAGACTCTATCTCTGCTTCCATCTCATTCAGAGGTCAATAGAATGGTAGGCTGAGCCCGTGTAGATTTAGCTGGCAACTAGTCTAGGAGAAGTACAATGCCAAATTCAAAACTGGTTGCGCCTGAAGCGACCAACTCCGCCCCGTAAAAGAAAAAAAAAAGGTACTTGCTGCGGAACTACGACGATTTATTGGGGCTGTGATCATATACATAACAAGGGAGTTTCAAGAATTCAGATAACGTGAAAATAAATCTATCTATCTATCTATCTATCTATCTATCTATCTATCTATCTATCTATCTATCTCATTTATCTATCTATCTATCTATCTATCTATCTATCTATATCTATGTATCTATGTATGTATGTATGTATGTATGTATGTATGTCTGTGTGTCTCTAAATCTCTCTCTCTCTATATATATATATATATATATATATATATATATATATATATATATATATATAGAGAGAGAGAGAGAGAGAGAGAGAGAAAAAGGTTTGTTGAATAATCTAGACATATTATGTATATTTCTTTTTATTTTAATCATTTCAAATTCACGGCTCAATTTCTTAATGTTGCCATTAAAAACATTAAGGCAGGTGCCGTAGATTTTTGATAGGATTAAAATAAAAGTAAATAGACATAATTTGTCCAGATTATTCAACAAACATGCTTGGATGAAGATATGCTGACTAAACACACACACACACACACACACACACATATATATATATATGTGTGTGTGTGCCTCTGTGTGTGTCTGTTCGCGCATATTTACTTATCTGTATGTGTATGTGTCCGTGTGCGTGTCTGAAAATGAAAGATTTCGCACTAGTCATGTATTCTTTATTCTGGACCCCAAATTTTTTTTTATTTCTTTTCCCCAAAATTAATCCATTGCTTTGCTTTTGCCAACTGACAGTACATAGATATCGACTCTATGTGAAGAAATCGTTTTCTTGTTTATTTTTATTCCATTGTTGATGTTTAAATGCATTTTTCTTCCCTGCTTTCTGCTGAAAATATTTCTTATACATTTCTTCAATTTAAATTTTCTTCATATCTTTTGTTTGTATCTCTTATATTTTAATTTCGTTTCTTTTCTTCTTTCTTACATCTTTTCTTCTTTCTACTTCAACTGCTTCATCTTTCCCAGATGCTGAATCTTTGCAAATTCCGAACTATTCATGCGTACTTGATGAGACTCAGGAAAAATTACCTTTGCTGCATGATTATTGTTGAGTTTAGAATATTGGAAAGCAGGTATCGGATTCGTTATTTTTGTTTTTTTAATTGTTCATACTTTTCAATAAAGAAAAACTAAGACGAAAAATACGAAGAAAAATCAAGGCAATATTGAAATCCTTTTAACCAGTAATTGCAACATTTTCCCTCATTAACACAATGTTATTATTCTCCTGAGGCTACTAAAGTTCGTTTAGATTCATAAAAAAATTCTTTTTACAGAAAGTATATCTGAATATCCGCGTGTCGATAACGAGAGTCTCATCGCATCCAACGAGTTCGTAATATTTTTTTTCATTTTTTTCATTCAGTATCTGATTTTCAGGAGCCAATAAACGTCATTAAAAATTAGGAAAAACCTTAGAGAACACGAAAGTAGGTTAAAAAATAAACAACAATCAAAAGAATAATAAAACCTGAATCTTCTTCAATGAATTATTAAGAGTCGCATTCCCCGAGGGAAATTCGGAGTCTTTTTCAAAGGGGACGAATGTTAAATAATGAACTTGTTCACAACTTGTTTCAAATTCTGCAAATAAGTTATATAAATCATAACTGTCCCCAGCTGGAAGCGAAATTCATTATTTGTCTCCTTTGTAAGTTTTGAGTATTTCTTTTCTTTTCTTTTATGAATGTTTCCTTTTAATATCTATCTATCTATCTATCTATCTATCTATCTATCTATCTATCTATCTATCTATCTATCTATCTATCTATCTATCTCCTCTCTCTCTCTCTCTCTCTATATATATATATATATATATATATATATATATGTATGTATATGTATGATTTCAGTCTGTTCCTATCTATCGATCTATCTATTTATCTATCTATCACAATCTGTATGTATGTATGTTTGTACGTTTCTGTCAGCTTTTTCATCATATATCTCTCTATCTATCTCTCTATCTCTGTCTATCTATCTATAGCGCCCCTATATATATATATATATATATATATATATATATATATATATAATTTCAGTTTGTCCACATCTATCTATCTATCTATCTATCTATCTATCTATCTATCTATCTATCTATCTATCTATCAAACAATCACAGCGTGATTGCGTGTGCACTCCGCTTGTATCGGCAAGTATTACGACAAAATGATGAGTTTAATATTCAATGTGCTCTCCGTATTAATAACATATTGACAAACAAATTTAAGCTTTATAAACACACACACACACACACACACACACACACACACACGCGCGCGCCGGTGTTAATAAAATTATGATGTAATATAACAAAGCAATTAAGGATATATTAATATATATGTACATTTTTTCTTCACCGGTAGTATGACTCTGAGTTTCATACACAACGCAATATTTAGGAGCTAAATAGAGCCTGAGCGTTACATAATTTAAATTTTAATAAAAAATATCTGGTTAGCCTAATGCTGACGCAATCCATATATTATATGTGGATTACAGTTTATATATATATATATATATATATATATATATATGATATGAGGTGCTATGATTATTTACATTATTTACATTATTCGAACTGTTATCCTCAACTTCATTGACATATTCACAACGTTTCGGCCGTTGTACGCTCAGGTTTTCTTCAGGGGATTATAATTTCGAACTAAAACCTTTATTTCGTCCACCAGGGTAGATTCTTCTAGTTCCACGTGCTATGCCTCTTCCGGTTGTTTCAGTTATTTCCTTTTAACTCAACTCTCCAAGTTTTTCGGTTCGCCACTGCTGTAGCATGCTATTGAACACATGGCCCTGTGGATAAAGATGTTGGTTAGATCCAGTGACTAGACCCAAAGAGTTGTGAGTTCAGTACCAGGCTACAGCAGTGGTGAACTAAATATATATATATATATATATATATATATATATATATATATATATATATATATATATATAAGTAGAAAAAAAAACAAATGAATATCATGTTAATGAAATATATAAAAATCTCGATGGAATCAGTGGTATCTGTTTATCTATGCGGTTTGTATAACACGTATTTTAATAATATCCTCCGATGCTTTGAAAGCTTTCTCTGCTGAAATGCAAATAAAATTTGACATATAAAGGTCATGAATTGAAGAATAAATTCAATATATTTACGTAGTAGAAAACACAAGAGAACTGTAAGTGAAAAAAAAATATTTTTACAACTGTCTTTCCGAATAGCGGAGAGAGTTGTGTAACGTGCAAATGACAGTTGTGCCAGTTATTATCGGATCACTGGAAAACGAGTGGATGAAATGCTAGTTAGGGAAGAGATGGTAGCATTCAGCGAGCGACATTGTTAAAAGTGTGTTGGAATATCGAGAAAATATGCTGTTATATTAGCTCCAGTGAAGTGCAGCATTTAACATTGACTTGAATAAACAGAATAGGAGGAGAATAATAATAATAATAATAATAATAATAAGAAGAAGAAGAAGAAGAAGAAAAAGAAGTAGAAATAATAATAATAATAATAATAATAATATTAATAATAATAAGCAGAAAAAGAACTAGAAGGAGGAAGAGGAGTAGAAGAATAAGAATGAGAAGGAGAATAATAATAATAATAATAATAATAATAATAATAAGAAGAAGAAGAAGAAGAAGAAGAAGAAGAAGAAATAATAGTGATAATAATAATAAGAAGAAGAAGAAGAAAAAAAAGAAGGAGGAGAAGGAGAAAAAGAAGAATTAATAATAATAATAATAAAAAGAAGAAGAAATAATAATAATAATGATAAGAAGAAGAAGAAGAAGAAGAAAGGAGGAGGAGAAGGTGAAAAAGAAGAATTAATAATAATAATAATAAAAAGAAGAAGAAATAATAATAATAATGATACGAAGAAGAAGAAGAAGAAAGAAGGAGGAGAAGGTGAAAAAGAAGAATTAATAATAATAATAATAATAATAATAATAATAATAAGAAGAAGAAGAAGAAGAAGAAATAATAGTGATAATAATAATAAGAAAAAGAAGAAAAAAAGGAGGAGAAGGAGAAAAAGAAGAATTAATAATAATAATAATAAAAAGAAGAAGAAATAATAATAATAATAATAATAATGATAATAATAATAATAATAAGAAGAAGAAGAAGAAGAAAAAGAATAAGATGAAGGAGAAGATGAAGAAATAATAATAATAATAATAATAATAATGGATGATGATGATGTGCTAATACTGAGAAATGTTAAGAAAATCAGCGGAAAAGGCATGTAGTCATTATTCCCTAGCACTTTAACATTCATTCTGACATGATTAATAAACTAGAAATTATGATCAAGAACAATAATCAAAAATGCTTTTCATAAATATGGCAGTGCCATCAGATGAAAAATAGAGTTGTTAAAGTCTATGATAAGGTAAAATATAAAAAATAAAAAAAAATAGAATATAAAAATATAACTGTTAACGATCATGACAATATAAATATATAAAAGTATTTAATTTTATTTGAAATTAAAAAAATATATATGCTGCCTTTAAATTACTTATAACTGTAATAACAGAGGCCCCAGGTGCGACCAAAATATACAGACAAGAACATTAACAAAATCCCTGGTAGCTCTTGTTTCCAAGTTTGCAATGTTCAGAATCGTTCATTTATTCAGATTTTTATCAACGTCAAGAATATATGACGCGTTCGACGGAGGCGGGGCGTATTTAACATTTGATAATTTTGCGCCATTATGCACTTAAAGGTTTTAGGCATTTTTTGTCAACATCTCTTTTCATGGTTAGCCATAAGGAATTGTAAATGTAGGACTACCTTACACTTAAGTAAAATAATAACAATAATAATATTTATTAAGAATTTATTACAGGAAATATTAAGTTTTATGGAAACATTGAGAAATATGCATTTAATTACGAAACAAATAAATGAAAATAATATAAATTGTGATGCGATATTCAATTTGTTGTTATATACTTTCCATTTTCTCCTTTGTTATTGACAGCATTTTAGAATAATTTGGCTGCAATGCTAAGTTTCCTAAGTTGAACAAACTGGAGTTATTTTGTTTACGCTTTGTTACCTCTTTTTTCATTGTTGTTTTTAGATCGCTTTCTTCCAGTCATTTTGATGGGTAATGGCAAAATTCTGAAATTTAGAATGATCTTATTTCATTTCAAAAATAAAGCCTGTAAAAAGGAATATTTTAAATTTATATACGACCAAAAATAAAATGCTTCTGAAAAAAAAAAAACTTAATGATTTCACTATAATTATGTAACAATAATGTAATGGTATTACGCAGTCGAATCTACGGTTTATATTACGTCATCTCATTGTATGGTTACAAACTATGCACTTAAATTGAGTTTGAAATATTGTGTAATCAGTTCTAATTTTTTGTAAAATACTTGGATATGATATAATGAATAATTTGCAGTGAAAAAACGCAATTTTCGATTTTTTGTTGAATACGCCCCATTCTTCACCAAACGCGTCATATAAACAGTGTACATGTATAACGAAACATTTGTGTCAACAGAATGCCTATATTTAGTACCTTACCTTGCCCTAGATCTCGACAAATAACCTAATAATGGATTGTAACAAAAGACAAATAAAAGAGTTCTAAACTGCTATCTAATTTCAGGGAATTCTCGACTAATTCCTCCCAGATGAAGAGGAAACTTAACACAACGGAGATGTGGTTTTATAAAAAAAAATGCTGAGAATACCCTAGACTGAAGATGTGAATAAGGAGAACGTTTTAAGGAAAATGATAACAAAAACGAGGTTTGTACTTAGAATCAGAAAGAGTTGAAATTTTTAAAGTTCATAATGAGAAAAGATTGCCTGGAGAATATGACACTCACATAATATGTTGAAGTCAAGGGGGACAGATGGAAGCAGCGTGTAATCTGCTTAACGAGCTCGGATAACAGAACAGGAATTGAAAGAGATAAAGAAAAGACAAAACTTAATAAGAGCTACAAAGGATATGTGCTTATAGAAATCCTTGATTACCCATGTCTTAAAGGGACACGATAGATCGAAGAAAAGCATAAGGTAACTTTATATTAATAATAATTAATCAGAAAAATATCTCAGCCAAAATATGTTCCCTACGTTTTCGCAAATCTAATTTGATAGTATGTTCTGTTTAACAAATCCTAAGAAATTCTAAAAGGGAAATGGTGAAATCTCTAGGCATTAATTCAAGGAAGCAGAAAGGGAGAAATAAAAATAAAGAATTAACATGGCGTCACTTCACAGGTTTCTTTCTAAAAGTTTCTTAATGAGAGATTGAAGCAATAGAAGACGGGTTAAAATAGCGTAACTGCAAGATGTTTGCACAGCTAAGCATATAAGATCAGGAAAATTGTAGCAAAGGCGTCAGAAAAAAAAATGTGCTTATCGGACAGCTGGAAGACAAGACTCTGACAGATTTATTGTCTGCCTATCTTTGAATATAGCCAAACGTATTTTCCCACGTTTAATGAAAACTACAGCAGAAAAATTCATGATGTGAACAGTTTTAAAACATTGTAGTCGTTCTTTTTACGACAGTAATTAACTAATGAAGCATGTTTTGGTTTTATCATAAATATTCAAACAGAACAACTTTTTAAAATGTTTTGCTACGAGATACAAAAATAAATAAAATAGACCAATCTCAAACACATAAAAGAGGCTTTAGTCATAGTCTAAAGAAAGGAATAACGAAATAATGTAGTCCGTATTTATAACATTAATTTTGCTTGGTGATATTTTTTTTGTTGATTTTTAATGTCTATTTGCCCACTCTAACCTAAGGGTTTAATCTGAAGTGCGCATTCTTTTAGAATTTAACACTGAGAAACGCGTGATTTTGAGAAACATGCACTTCCGCTCTCATATACATCACATCTAATGCTTAGAATATTTCCGACTCTGACCAAAACATGGAACCGGGGATCTTCCATTGAACTAGGCGAACAATACGTGACATAATATTTGTTATTCATGTTTTAGGAACAGCACATTCACTTATTGTCATCTCCTGTTTAGTATCCCATAAATGCTAGTTATGAGAAGTTCATTTAGTTCAATACGGGTTTAAAGTGTGAGTTAGAGAAAAACAAATCTATGCTCA